TGAATTTATAGACATTTGAAGACTGCAGCCTGCATGGAATTGTTCTTTCTGTTTTGTTCTAGTTAAAAAAAAAAGCAGCTAGAGAAATGTCGGCAACTAAACAAAAAAACTTCAATTAACCTTTGTCATATGCCTACTACAATATTATTAACTGAACAAAGACAGAGCTTTGTTAAGGGTATCTTAGGGTTTAATTTCCATGTTCAGACTCCAACTATAGTTCCTCACCCTCAGATTATGTAAAAACAGACAAGTTTTTAAGCTCTGCTCACTGTGGATGACTCACATTATTATATACTAACCACCAACACACTTTGTTTTTCCCCTTTGTTTTACACGCCTGAAGTGTTCTGGCCTGGGTTTGCCTTGTTCAGAGTTTGTACGTTCTGCATTCTGCTTATTGTACCATGTAATCACTCCCTGTCCTTCTCCTTTTAGTTTTTAATGAGCTCCTGCACTGGGACTTGGGCAATCTCACAGAACTACCCTACAGAACTCAGCATACACCATTCATCACCGAGGTACACTGACCTCTGAGAAGGATCCAGGACATCAGTGACAAGTGATGTCCCTCAGGGGTCCTCATTGGAACCAGTGTTATTTAATATCTTCATTAAAGACATAGAGGAAGGGATTGAGTGCACCCTCAGCGAGTTTACATATGACACCAAGCTGAATGGTGCAGTTGCCACGCCTGAAGGATGGAATGCCATCCAGAGGGACCTGGACAAGCTCCGGAAGTGGGCCCACGGGAATCTCATGAGGTTTAAGTGCAGGATGTTGCACCTGGGTTGCGGCAACCCCCGGTAACAATCCAGGCTGGGCGATAAACTGATCAAGAGCAGCCCTGCCAAGAAGGATTTGGGGGTGCTGGTGGATGAGAGGCTGGACATGAGTCAGCAATGTGTGCTAGCAGCCCAGAAACCACATGTATTCTGGGCTGTATCAACAGCAGCATGGGCAGCAGGTCCAAGAAGGAATTCTGCCCCTATTCTCCACTCCAGTGTGACCCCATCTGAAGCACTTCATCCAGCTCTGGGGTGCCCAGCACAGGAAGGACACTGACGTGTTGGAGCAATTCTGGAGGAGGCCACCAAGATGATTAGAGGGATGGAGCACCTCTCCTACAAGGAAAGGCTGAGATAATTGGGATTGTTCAGCCTGGAGAAGATAAGGCTTCATGGTGACCTAATTGCAGCCTTCCAGTACCTGAAGGGAGCCAACTAGAAACACAGAGAGAGACTATTTACAAGGTCATGTAGTGACAGGTCAAGGAGGAATGGCTTCAGACTGAGTGTAGGTTTGGATTAGATATTAGGAAGAAATTCTTTACTGTGAGGGTGGTGAGGCACTGGAACAGGTTGCCCAGGGAAGCTGTAGACACCCTATCCCTGGAGGTGTTCCAGGCCAGCTTGGATGGAGCTCTGAGCAACCTGGTCTAGTGAAAGGTGTCCCTGTCCATGGCACTGGGGTTGGAACTAGATGATCTTTAAGGTCCCTTCCTACCCCGGTCATTCTGTGATTCTATGATCTGTAGGCTTTGCTGCAGGTTCCTGAGAATTCATAAAACTACAGTGGAGGCCTCTGACAAAGCAAAGAACTCAAGCTGATGTCAAAAGACTTTTTGAGTTCCTGTACATAGGGTTGGCATCAGGAATCAAACAATGCCTTTCACTAAATCCCTCTATGGAGACACAGGAGATTAAGGCTGAGCATATGACTGGCAAGGTTCCTATTCTCTGTATCAATAGGAGAAAGTATTGAAGGTGAATAAATTAAAAGAAATCTCCAGTGAAGCAGAGAGAGAGCAGCTTTATGCATAAAACAGGTCTTGATCTCTGATTCTCTACCACTGCCTTTTGAGCTTGTATCAGCAGCCAGCTCATTTTTTGGTCTGGTTTAAGTTGGGAGAAAAATAAAATGTCCAAGTAACCTAAGCTTCCCGCATAAGAAGCCCATGAGACAGTCCTTGTGAGGCAAACACATTGTCAGATTCCAGCACATCACAGAGTTTAATACAGAAAGTGTGAAAGAACAGGTGAAATTATTTATTTATGTAATGAGTAGCAATGCTGAGTACTTAGAGATTCTGCTGCCTTTGCTAAGGGATGAGATAAAAATAACGATGTCATTAATCTTACAGAGACACGTGAGTGTGTCTTTCCAGAAATAACTGTTAAACATAAAATTTCAGGCATTAATCAAAGCATGCAGAGGCCTAACCTTCTTTAGGATTCTAAAGAGAAAGGTAAAGCAATAGAACTGTAAAGCAACACGAACATAAGGGGCATTTAACCTTTATTCTAAGTAGCTAATTTCAGGGAAAACATGCTTAGGGCCAGTTTCTCAACTAGCGTAGATTTGTATTGATTCAGCTGGTTTTAGCAAAGCCACAGCAAGTTTTACGCTCTCAGAAGTTGGTCTCTGCTGTCTGAAAGAAGCCAGGAAGAAAGAAGGGCACCACCACATGATATCATGAATATTAAAAAAAATGAATAAAATATGCTGCAGGAAGTAATGCAAAAGAGACATACCCACAAGGAAAGGAAAAACACAGGATAAAAAACAATGCTTAAGAGGTTCTTTCAGGAAAGAAAACTAGCAGACATAGCACAAGGGAATGTAAACTCTGCCCAGACACTGAGAATATGGGTAAGATTCAGGGGGAAAATTTAAATACAGAAAAATATTTTTTTAAATAAAGTAGAGATGTAGCACAAGCAAGGATGAATTATATTTGTTTCCCATAGGCCAAGTCCAGAAAGAGATTTCCTACAGAGATGGATTGTTTTATCTCAGATCCACAGTCCTGTTGATAAATCTCAAAGTGATTCACCGAGAAAGAAAATTTCCCAGGGAATGAGTTCTAGCTCTTATATAGAGTTTGCTGAAGGTGTTGCTTAGCAGATAAATTGCCTGTGTCAATTCAAAGCTCGAACACAGTTGCCATGAAGGGAAGTGTGTATGTGATTTCCTGGAACGAATACAATGTTTCTGCAGAGGAACCCATAAAAAGCTGACAATATATTAAGACTGTTTTACCTGAAAATAGTTAACTCAAACTTATAGTGCAGGTCCACTGGGTCAGGAAAAAAAATTAAGTCTTAAAAAATCCGACAGAAGAATTCAAACAATTTTAGCATATGAAACTAAGACCAAAAGCTGTTTCAGTACACTAAACAGCAGTGGAAACTGAACATTTACAATTCCACGTACAGAGGACATATATATGTTGGTTGAGCAGTAAAGTCTGTGAGAAAGGGCTGGGTTGACCCCAGTTGGCATCATCTCTCACTTCTGGCAGTGGCACTAACAATTTGTCCATCACCAAGACAGAGGAGTAACTTTTTCAAAGGCACAATGCTCAGCAGAGTGAGCTATGCCAACTCTTTGCATCTCAGCTAAAAATGAGCGGAGATCAGAGGGGATAGACATATCCCAGATTCATTTTACTCTTTATGATATACAGAGAAGACCTGCCTCTTTCCGTATCTCTAATTGATTTCGCATTTTTTATTTGCTACGTTTAACACGTTGATGAAAGACAACTGGAACCATCCTTGAACCACCATTGAATACTGATGGTCTGAATTTTCTTGGACCATCATTCTGCCCATCATGGGCATGGCTAACAACTATTCTTGAATACTCAGTGTCATTGCTTGGGAAGCCATTGGGTCCTATATTCCTTCCAAGTGCAAAGAGCGCATACCTCATGTGAAGAGAAGACCTGCTGACTCCATTGAGGCCAACTAATTAAACAAGAAATCCAGTTATTCCTACTGCATACGCCAGCCTCCAACATGTCCTGGAGAACAGGAGTCTTAAATAGGAAGCCTGGCAGTTGAGTCCTGCTCCATGTGCTCAACTTTTGGTGCTGAACTCTAACATGATGTACAGCTCACAGTTAATGATCTCTGCTCAGCCACTTCTCATGCCCTTGTGGAGTCTAGAGAGTAAACTCACATTTAACTGTTTTTTCATGATTTTAGTCTGGGAGGATCATGACCCGGGCTTTGCTGGTCTCAGCAGAGCAGCTGCTCAGGCTGTCAGGGAACAGTCAGGAGTCTGGGATCTGCCAGGCACTCCATGGCTGGTTGCTGATGCAGTGTCTGGGTTTGGCACCATCTTTATACACAGTCACGGGCTTGGTGGGATCCCCTTACACCATCATTTTAGAGTGATGACAGGGATCACTGATCCCTTCATCTTCAGGAGACGCTGCAGCAGAGATCTTCAACCTTCCCCGTGGCTAAGTGCCGTCACCCAAGGGGACAAGCAGTGGACTGGGCGAGCAGACGAGGGCTGGACTGCAAGGGCCACTGACATGGCCTTAAAGCAAGACATGGGAAATTCAGATTAGATATTAAGGGGGGGGAAAAATCAGGGCGATCTGGCATTGGAATAGGTCGTCCAGGGAGGTGGTGAAGTCACCACCTCTGGAGGTGTTCAAAGAGGCATTTGAGTGATGTGGTTTAGTGGTTTAGGGATCACAGTAGGGGCGCAGGGTTGACGGTTGGACTCGATGACCTTAAAGATCTCCTCCAACCTTGACGATTCTACGATTGAGTGACACATTCTCCTTCACCGCCACCAGCATCTCCCATCTCTCCATCACCCAGAGGAGGCGGCGCGCTCCGGCCGCGGCCCCGCGGGCACGGACGGTGCCGCGCGGTGTCCCCGGCGCGGTGCGGGCGGAGCGGGCGAGCTGGGGCCGTGCCGGGAGGCGGGTGGTGTGTCCCGCACGTCATATCATCCGCCCGGGCTCCATTGGCTGCGCCGCCTCACCCGAGCCGGGCCGCGGCCGCCCGGGGCTGGCGCGGCGGCTCCCGCGCCCCGCGATCGCCCCGCCCGGCGGGGAGGGCACGGGCGGGGCGGCGGCGCCGAGCGGAGCGGCGGGACCGGCGCTGCCTCCGGCCGCGGGTAGGTCGGCGGCGGGTAACGTGACATCCGCGGCTCGGCGCTTATAAACCTCCCCCGGGGCGCGGGCCGGCGGCGGGCGGCCGGCAGGGAGGCGGCGGAGCAGCGGCCGCGCAGCCCCTTCCCTGAGGTGAGCGGTACCCGCGGCCCCGGAGGGAGAGGATGGGCGCGGGTGCTGAGGTTTGACGGGCCCGGGGAGGGAAGCGAAACCCTTCCCCGCGGGACAGGGGCAGCGGGGGTCCGTGGCCCTGTCCTCCCGTGGGGCCGAGGCAGTGCAGCCTCGGGGCCGCTCGGCTGTGTCAGGTCACCCCGCATCCTCTCTGGAGCTCGGTGAGTGCTGGAGGAGGCGCCGGCCTGACCCGTTGTTTGGGGGCTTTACTAGCGTGTGCCTGTGCGTTGTGTTTTCAGGACCCCGGTGAAGCCAATGCCTAGGTTGGAGAGCTGCGCCTGGAGCTGTTCCTGCACTGCCAGGGGAAGGCACAGGACCCAGCTGGGGGGCACGGCAGCGGGACTGGCCGCCAAGGTGGGCGAGATGCTGAGCTCCTCTGTGTCCAGCCCCTCGCTAGCGATGGTGGGTCGCGGAGCTCGCAGCCCCAGCACCTCCAGCGCCAGCAGCACCACCAGCACCACCAGCAGCAGCGGCAGCAGCAGCAGCGGCAGCAGCAGCAGCAGCAGCAGCACCTTGAACTGGAGTCAGCACCTGGTGCAGAGAAGCGTGGTGCTATTCGTCGTGGGTGCTTTCATGGCCCTGGTGCTGAACTTGCTGCAGATCCAGCGCAATGTGACTCTGTTCCCTGACGAAGTGATTTCCACACTCTTCTCCTCCGCCTGGTGGGTGCCCCCGTGCTGCGGCACAGCAGCGGGTGAGTTGCTGACCTCCACGGGTGATTTTTTTCTCTCTCTCTTTTTCCTCATCCCGTGGCGGAGAAGTGGCGATGGGGCTTAACGCGTGACCCGTGCGCGCGTTGGACCCCAAGCGCTTCCATCGCGCGGCAAGCGATGCGAACTCAGGCTTTTTGGAAAGGATGCGCGCCCCGCTTTATCCACGCGCGAGAGCCGCCCGCGCCTTTCCGCGCGTCCCAAGGCTATCTTTCTGAGCCGGTGCTCTCTGAGCGTGGGCAAGGCGCGTTCTTCCCGGCGGGAAGCGCGGGGAGGGGGGCTCGGGGCCGGGGTGCGGGACCGACACCGGGACCAACACCGGGACCGGCCGCGGGATTTCCCGCGCTGCCCCCGCCCCGCGCCGGGCGCGAGCGCCCTCGGCGGCCCCGCCCCCCGCCGCCCATTGGCTGCCGCGGAACTGGTGAGCGGCGGGCGGCGCGCGCCATTGGCTGCGCGCGCGAACTGGCCACGGGCCGGGCCCAAAACAAGGAAGTCACGTGTGGGGCGCGCGGGCCGGGCCTGTCACCGGCCTGTCAGCGGCCTGTCAGCGGCCTGCTCCCACCCTGTCACCGGCCTGCTCCCACCCTGTCACCGGCCTCGCCTCTGTCACTGGCCCCTGTCACCTGCCTGTCCCTTGTCTGCCCCTCGCTGCCCCCGGTCACCGGCCTGTCAGCGGCCTGCCCCTTGCCTGATGTCCCTGCCCCAGTCACCTGTCCCGTCACCTACCTGTCCACTGCCCCTTTCCCGCTGCCCCAGTCACCTACCTGTCCACTGCCCCTTTCCCACTGGCCCTGTCACCTTCCCTGATGCCCCAGTCCCCTGCCTTTCCCCTGCTCGATGCTCCTGTCCCCGGCCTCTCCCCTGCCCTTGTCCCCTGCCTGTTCTGTCACCGGCCTGCCCCTTGCCTGGTGCCCCTGTCACCAGCCCTGTCACTTGCCTGTCCACTGCCTTTTGCCCACTGCCTCAGTCACCTGCCTGCCTCTTGCCTGATTACCCAGTCACCTGTTTTTCCCCCGCCTGGTGCTCCTGTCCCCTGCCTTTCCTCTGCCCCGTCCTCTGCCTGTTCTCTGCCACCTGCCTGTCACCAGCCTGTCCTTTGTCTGCTCCCTTCCCAATCGACTTGTCCCCTGTCACCAACCTGCCCCTTCCCTGATGCCTGTCACCTGCCCCTTGCCCACTGCCCCAGTCACCTGCCTTTCCTCTGCCACCTGCCTGTCACCTGCCTGCCCACAGCCCCTGTCCCTTGCCCACTCTCCCTGTCACAAGCCCCTGTCACCTGCCTGTCCCCTGCTCCCTTCTGCCCCCTGCCCACCCTTACCCACCGCTGGGCAAAATCCCACGGAAGACCTGGGCTACGCTGCAGTTGTAGCAGCAGTGGGCACTTACCTGGTGGATTAGTGTTCATAACCCCCTCCCAGCCGTGTCAAAACGAGGCTTTGACAAAGGGTTGAAGGATTAAAAATGAGTTAAGTTTTAGGACACTGTGATAGTTTTTAACTTGCATTGAAAGTACTTTAAACAACTCTTGCATGGCTGACTTTTATTTTAATGCAGTGACGTTGTCATGTGATGTTTATGTGTATCACATAGTAAGGGAGTAAGAATGATAAACTGTAAACTTGAATGAATGATAAACTGTGTAATAAAAGGGATGCTGTGGAATATGCTCCAGTGAGAGTTCTCATAGTCCTGTCACAGTTGGATTAAACTTTGGAATTTAGCTGTTATCATAAGGCAAAAGTCCTGGTAGCTGGCATCAGAATAATGAAACTGTGTCAGCATTAGATCATATGTCTGTCTTGGAATAGTATGTTTTGTAGCCTTCTTAACATAGAAGTTATTCCTCTTAGGAGTTTAAGGGATTAAAAAAAAGAGGGTAGGAAAGGAGATGAATAAACATAGGAGTTAACACACGATAAAAGCATCATGTCTAACCCTGGAGTTGGCAACAAGACTTGCAAGTCTTGGAAGAATGGAGCTCCTCTAGTGTTTGTGATAGCAACTGAGCTAACACTAGCCTATGTTTTTCTTCTGCAACCAATTTTCAGGCTGATAAGGCTGAGAAAATGCTATATGATGATACAAACTTTGTGCGAGTATGAGTAGTTATTTTTCCGTGACATAAATACAACTGATGGCAGGTGCTTCTTTAAGTTCAGCTCTGCATCTGTTTGGTATCAAAATTCATGTGGCATGGACAGAAGCACAGGCAGACTTACAGCCCAGCAGAAGGAGAGAAAGCAGCTCTGCCGAGAAACTTTTTTAAGTCCAGGCAAATATTTAATTCAGGGCCTGATTCACAGCTAATGAGTCATGTTCATAAAACTGTCTGCCCTGCACGTGAGCAATGAACACATATTCCAGTCCTCGCTGTAATTAAGCTTTTGTTATGCTTTGGTTTTTATTGGTACAAGCATTTGCTTGGGATGTCAAATGATAAATCTCTTTGGAGAAAAATTGCTTCAAGTCGGAAACCTTAACACTGGATGGTTTTTCTTTTCTAAAGTAGAAAGTGAGGGTAATAATTGTATTTTATTCATCATGCTTACAGTAGTGTGATAAGCAGCTCACGGCTTTCTCAGGCGCTTATTTGCCGAGCTAATATTTGATAACATTGGAGTAACCATTGTATAACAGTTAGTGCAAGTAGTGTTGCTTCTCTTGCAGCTGTCGTTGGCCTGCTGTACCCCTGCATTGACAGCCACCTCGGGGAGCCACACAAATTCAAGAGGGAGTGGGCCAGTGTCATGCGGTGCATCGCGGTTTTCGTTGGCATCAACCACGCCAGTGCTGTATCCTTGAGACAGTGTACATTGTTGCTCCATGGGCTTAGTCTGTTGTCATGAAACAGTGTCTGGGGGAATTACAAAGGTAAGGATGGTGCTGCTACTGGCAAAGTTCTGTCAGACCTGCTGTACACTGCAGTAATTACTGTAAGCTCATTTAAAGTACTGCACAGTTCATTTAAAGTAGTTGGTGGGAGTTCTGGGAGGGGAGAGGGATGGACATTATGGTATGTCTGGTTTAACTACAAGCATAACAGTGTAAGTTGTGTTATTTTAATCTGTTTGTTGCCTGCATCTAATAGTTAACACAATTAATTGGTAATGTACTAGTGAGAAGCACTCAGTAAAAGTGTTCTTGTGTTGTGATTGTCTGAGCAGAAAACATAAAGCCGAATTACTTGAGACAAAAATCCATAAAAGTTAAATATATTATTATATAGTATATTCTTTAGATGCTCAGTGTGACAAAAATTGATGTTGACTTTGCATTCACGATCCAGTCAAAGTCAAGAACTATAATTGCTTGGCAGGTCTGAAAACCAAATCCTAAATATATTGTATTTAAAGACAGAGAATCATGCTCACTTTCAGTTTGAGTTCTCCCTTGATCAGTGTCAGCAGCAGGATGTCTGCAGACTTCAAAAGATTGTCCTTAACATCTTTTTCCAGAAACTAGACTTTGCAAACAACGTCCAGCTGTCCCTGACTCTGGCAGCCTTATCACTGGGTCTTTGGTGGACATTTGATCGTTCCAGAAGTGGTCTCGGGCTTGGAATTACAATAGCCTTTGTAGCAACCCTGATAACCCAGTTCCTTGTATATAATGGTGTCTATCAGTAAGTTATACTTCTAAAATACTGTTTTTACTCTCATATCTTAGGTAGAAACGTGGGTGCACATGCACTGGAAGTTAGTTATTAACATATTTGGCACATCATTATTGTTATTAGACATTTTGTTTGTCTAAGGCTGCTAATTGTCCAGTTATTCCAGATGATAAGATTGGGAACTGGGGGTGGGAGGTGGGGAGCAGACAAATTGGGATGTATGTTGAAATGGTAACAGCTCAGCAAACTGAACTTCTACTGGCTCTCAGAAGAGTGAATTTCTAAGCTTTGCTGATCAGGACATGGAGGTTTAGAATCTTACAAACTTAACAGACTTAATTTGGTCTCCTTGCTTCCTTTTCTCTGTTACTGCCTTTTTGTTTCAGCCCAGTGAGAGAATTCTATAGCATCTTATTAACAGTGTGTAAGGTGATGAAAATCACTTTTCTCTAACTTATTTCCTTTTGTTTACTAGGTATACATCCCCAGATTTTCTTTACATCCGTTCTTGGCTTCCGTGTATATTTTTCTCAGGAGGTGTGACTGTAGGAAACATAGGACGCCAGCTGGCTATGGTAATTACTGTATAATTAGTAGTTTCTTTAACAATCTAAATATCTTCCATTGTTGTTAGTCCAAGAATAAACTATGCCTTTAAGGGTATGACTCACAGACTGACAGAGTTAAATAGATGTATTTTTAAGAGCTGAACTGTAAGCAGACAACCTGTGTTGCCAGTAGAGTAGGTATTGTCTTAGTAAGTGGTTGAGTATCTGTTTTATTTAACTTTTTCCAGTAACAGCCTAATTAAGATTGGAATCAGTACATGGCTTCTGCTGATAATCGCTCCTGTTCCATCAGTACTTAGAATTAACATCTAAGGTAGCTAGAAAACTGGGGCACAGATGGATTTTCTCTAATTATTTATGTACTAAATTATTTTTGTTACGTAAATGAAAGGAAATGTCTCTATATGGCATCCAGTTCCACCACTCTATAATCAAATATTCTGTTGCTGGTCACTTAAGATGTAGTTAAAGTATCACTCTATATATGGGATAGTATAAATTACTATCTTGTTTGCTAGGTTCTTAAGTAATTATTTCCTTGTGGCATACTGAAGAGTCAACCTGGCTGTGTGTTTGCCCATCAGTCTAAGGCTTGGTTGTGAAAAGTGTTCTGACACTGATGGATAGTAATAATTAATATTGCATTGATTTAACTTCTGTCTTCTTTGCTACACAAGTCCTGTATCCTGGAAAATATCCTTCAAGTGTTTAACTTTTCTAAGGCTGCTGTGGTTTAGGTGGCTTCAATTTTTAATGCAGGAAGGGCATCTGTAGACTTGGGAGTTCCTGAAATACTAGTCTCTGAACTGCTTAGTAAGGGGGAGAGCTGCTTTTTGGGACAGAGCCATGAGCGAGTAAAAATATTAGTCTAAAATTAGCTGTCTTTCTCTCCCTTCTGCCTGGCCTGGCTGACCCAGTGGATGGCTGCTGATGTACTTCTAGTGTGGATGGTCTGAACTGGACACTTCAGAGGGACAGGCCTGCAGACAAGCTGGGCAAGAGTCACATTCCCTGACCAGCCCTGGCTAACATTAAATATCGATTTCTTTAGTATTGATTCTCATTTACACTAAACCCACAGTAACCTCTCGTAGAAAAGGCTGCTTAAGGAAAAGAAAAAGGCATGGGCAAAATCTACTCCTTGAGGTTTTTCTTTCATGAGGACTTGGTGTCAAGCTACAGATTTCCTGGGACTGTGGTCACCATCTTAACTTCACAGTCAATTTGGTTTGCTCTGAGGTTCTTTAAAACACCAGCTCACTACTGCCCCTTCAAATCCCACTGGTGCAAACTACCTGCACTTTTTTTTTCTTAGGACTACATGTATGGGGGGGAAAGAGGGTATAATTTCTCTTTTTAAATTTGCCTCTCATATCAAGTGAAAAACATATATTAATTTAATTCTATTGAAGCTTTGCTATTGCAGCAGAGTCTCAAAATAAAATTATAGTCTGTTTTATGCTGCAGCTCTATATTTCACATGGGCATATGCAGTGCTTCCATTGGCTCTGCTGCTTCTGTTAGAAAGCAAAGAAGGGGTCCTGAAAGGAGTAAGAGCTAAAATAAATTCAGGCACATGGAACTCCTTTTTTTTTTTTTTTGACTTCTTTTCACCTGGCATCTCACCTGAATGTAGTTAAAATCACACTGGCTGCAGCCTGCAGCTTTCCTGTCGGTCTTGTCATCTTTCTTATAAAGAAAGAGGGAAGTTGGCAAGGCAAAGGTTTTTATTCTGGTTATCTGGAAGTCCCTTTACTGTGATTTACACTACTGTTACTTAGTCTGGAAGAACTTGGTGAAGCCCAACATTTTCATAGGAAAATTTCTGCAAGCATTCAGTGCTGGAAATCAAAGAATTCGACTTCTAAAGTAGAGTCTAAAACTCAGTCAACCACATCTTTCTTCTATAGAGAGAACTGAAAAGCATCAGTCTATTTTGTCATTGTGGATGTGGCAAGAAGATGGAATATAGCATTTTTTAAACCATACTTGAATAAAGCAGTTATTTCTGTAGCTGTATTCTCCTGTGGCCCCTGAGCTGTTTGCTGCCTGTGACAGTTGCTGATCAAACAGCAGATATTTTCTGGGCCTGTCTAGAGGAGAAGGTGGCACCCGTGGAAATTAGTGGAGTAAAGTTACCTTGCTTCTTCCTCAGCCCCTGTTTAGCTTTTGCAGTTAGAACAGAAATTGAAAGTAAAATTAGAAGTGTCCCTGAGACGTCTCCTCCCATGCTGATAGACAGTAACTGGGAGATGCTTGCTGCTTTTCAGTCACTGGATTTCAAGTGAGCTCACATGTACTATGAAGTGCAGTGTAACCTTTAAGCAAACCTGCTGGTAGCAGAGACTTTTGGGGGCTGTTTGTTTTGTTGGGGTTTTTTGCTATCAGCTTGAGGATGAAATCCAAAGCTTCCTTGTAATAGCTTTTATAGCAAAGGAAGACATGAAAGTGCTGCTGCTGCTGCTGCCATCAGCTCTGTCTGCTGATTATTACACCTAAAGTTGCTCAGTCAGTGCTCATCAGCTGGGTTAAATGGATGGCAGCACTTCATTTTGAGTTGTAACCATCATTCTTGGCATCTGGCGAGCTAGGGTCGTATTCAGAACTGGGACCTCACAAATATGTATTGTTTGCTAGTGCTGGAGGCTGCAGGACTGAGAATGCATTCAGTACTTGCAAATACATTTGCATTTTGACCTTAGAAAGAGAAGAACATGTTACAAGCTTTGTTTTAAAGAAAAGTTGGGTAAATTCCTCACACTGACATACACTACGGGGTTTCATACTAGAAAAGGGACTTAGGAGGAAATGAGTAAGTCTCTGATACCAGATTTTGATTGGAAAATAATGTAACTTACACTTGAAGACAGTTTAAAAAAGAAAAGGGCTGTTAAAACTGAATTAATGTCCAGTAAGTGAAGCACTGTGTACCTTCTGCTAATAAATAAACTGAGATAGAGAGGAAAGATAACAAAGTCTTATAAAAAGCAGTGCAATTGGTAGATGGGTTTTTCAGATGCACTGAGATGACAAACACCCATAGTGACTTTTTTTTTTTGTCCACAGTTAAAGAGCACATCCTTGTTGAGCTTTTATAAGAAGCCATGTCTAGGTCATTGTCAATTTAAGTGAAGTTAGTTGACCATTTAATAATTGAAAATACTGCATAATGTAGTCACTTACCAGATGGCATTAAAACATAATATGTGTTTGATATTTTTTTATCCATAGGGTATTCCAGAGAAACCACACAATGACTAAATCTTTGAAGAAGAGAGCACGGTGCCAGCGTGAAAGCAACATTACAAAGATGTGTTCCTGTTTAAAACTGAAGATTATTTAGAAAAAATAATCTCTTTATGGGCTCACTGCACAAATGACTTGTGGAAAAAAAAATATTAATCCACTCTTAGAATAGCCAAGTGAAATTAACTGCTTATCTTGAAATCTTACCCTGATTTACCACGTAAGCATTTGCATATGGCTGTTCTCTGGAAGAGTTTAACACCAAGTTGCATACAACTGTTCGGGCTAAGTGGCAGTTTTCCAAGTATTAGATTCCAATGTAAGTTATTGAATCAGCTGCCGTATTTTAAAGCCTTGAAACTGAAATTTAATTACAAGCTCTTGTATCAGTGCCCAAAGGAAGTAGATCGATGGTGCTTAACAATGATGAAGTATGGTTTAATAGGAATAGTATTTATCCAAATCTTTAAAAAATAGGGTTGTTTAAAAATAAGAGTGATCAAAACAGATTAAAGGCACTGCACTAATGCTTTTAGGAGTCTTATGAAGGAATCATGCCCTTACTTGTAATGCTGCATTAAGTTTCTGTCTTTGACAGTGGAGAGGGTTGGAGGAATGAAAGGTTGGAAGTCTTAGTTTGGAATTTCTAAATTACTTCAGTACGATGGGTGAACACAGGAGACAATCTTGTTCAAACGTGAACTTTTATCAGGAGATTCCGACTGGAAATTTCATTATTTCTGAAGCTTGCAGTTAGATTTGCAAGAATCAAGTTCTGGCCCTTACTCAGTAAGATATCTAAGTGTGTTTGAGTACTCCTGCTTAATATTAGACACATACTTCAGTATCTCACCAAAGGAGGTCTTGGGTATCTCAAATGTCTGGTGTCACTGAAAAAACATGCACTGCGTGTCATTGTGTGACCCCCAACTGTTCGATTTGCCATTTCCTCCTAGAGCTGTCCTTGATCTTCAGTCTGAGTCAGGGTTTTGACTGAAACGATTGGAAACAGAATTGGGCCTAAAAAATGTGATTTAAACCGTATGTGAAAAATAGCAAACAGCTTGTTTTCTCAGTTCAGTTTCTGAAAGAGATCACTGCTTGTTTTTATACAACCCTATAGAACTTGCAATCTGTGATTGCCTTCTTAAAAAACAAAAAGTGCTTATGTCACTACATTAAACATTTGGTGTTTCTTAATACATAGTTCTGGTGAGCACAACGTATTCATTTGATAGCTTAGACCACAGGAGACCTAAGTAGCAAGTATTAGGTCTTAAAAGTTGAAGTGCAATGTACAGTAAGTCTGAGCCTCATGTTCTCTTCAATATCGATCATTTCTTATGAGAGATTAAAGAGAAAAGGGTTCTGAGTTCATTTCAATGCTGCATGGAGTCAAATGGAGCAATAATTTATTTAACTAGTAAAGCTAGTTTTGTTGTATCTTACATTGAACCCAAATTTATAGAAATACTCCAATTTTGTGTTTATGTTGTACTTGTAAACTTTTATGGATTTGCCTTTTTGTATTATGCAATTTTTTTTGTGTTCTTTTCCAATCTTACATGGCTTCAGTTATAGTTAGAGGCATCAGTTAAAGACTGAACCATCAAAACAGATGTCAAGGCCAGATAGCTGCTCTGGCTGTTTTCACTCTTCTAAGGGAATGCTTGCAGGAAAAATTTAGCACAAACTCTATACTACAGAGCATACCCTAATTCTAATCTTGCTTTGGTGTAAATCAAGAGTAATTGAGTTGGTCTAAGATCCTTCCTCAAATGTTCAAAACATAAATCATCAAATTTTATAGAAGTACCTGAAGAAATTAGGTCCCCAGATCAGGACAGGTTCAGCTCAACTGTTTAAGAAGTATGCTACCTGCTGGGGAGACAGTTTTGTAACCACCTTTAAACCAATCTCAAAATGTTATAAAACCAGATGTAAGTAAAGATGACAGTGATCTCTATGGATATTTGATTAATAGAGAAGTATTTAAGATTTATTTCTAAAAACTGAAACTAAATCTGTGTATGGTCGAAATAATGCAGCCAAAAATGTAAGTCAAAAGTTCATTTTTTGCCAACACTTCTGAGTATCTTAACCAAAGTGATTTAAGTTTGGAAGAGGTGGGGAGGGGAGTGAAGAAAACTTGCACTATTCTGAATTTGAACACTTATATTCTCATTCTTACTGATAAGTTTTCAGCGGTGTGTTTGGTTTTACACTTTTTTTACTATTAAAGTTTTACGATCAAGTCATGTTTGCCTTGGATTCTCTGTGCTCACATTATGCAGGAATCTTTCTTGAAAAGGACAGTTGTTATGGTTGCATAACAAATATTCAGTCATGCATATGCAGTGGTTTAAAAAAAAAAAAAAAAGAATCCTAAACTGAACTTGCCAAGATTAACTTCAGCCTGGGTTGTACAGTTGAGGAGAAAAACAGTCTTGCTATTGTACCAGGAAAGCAGCATAAGTGTGTTATGGTTATGTGACTTAAAATACAGAATCTTACAACCATTGTCTTCCAAAATGCTGAAATTCATAATCTGAAACAAAATATAGAGGGGGCAGGGTAAACATGCACATTCCTTTTGTGGTTTGGTTATCTGCAGCAGTGGTTACTAAAATGTGAGTGCAAGCTAAGAATGAGTAAGCACAGCTGAAAAGGCTAAGAAATTCTAACAGCAGCTTCCAAATTTAGACCAAAACTCTTTAATTTTGCTGCACTGAAGTGTCTATTTTGGGCTTCAAGAAGTTGCTGCATTTTCAGTGGAAACAGTAGAATGGCTTTTTTGATATATTTTCTGCTGGCTTAGCTGGAGAAAGCTTCATTAAGAGCTTCTTAACTATTTTAGCTTAAGTGGGCTGCATTTGCTTAACTTCAATTCCTGCTCTGTAGCAGCTGAGGAGCTAACAGCTCCATACCTGAGGATGGCCCACATTCCCCAGGTACATTGCTTCCCTGAAACTCCACTCAAATTTTGTCAAAAGGAATTCAATATATATTTATTTAAAAATAAATGAATTGTGGGATACAGCCTGGTCTCGGAGAACTGGGGCATGATGGTGTTCCTTTTGAGACAGGAACGGGTGTACAAAAGTTTCTAAAGGGAAAAAAGCAAAACGTTCTTCCCAGCAACAGGGATGATTTGACATGTGCATAGTCCTGCAGCTCCATTTGGTGGGTTGTGCAGCCTCTGGTTTTGAGCGTGGGGATTTGCAGGTGCTAAATTAGCCACAGGAGGGCCCATGGTCTGCTCTCTGATTGCAGCAGGAACATATTGAGATGAATAATGAAATTAAGTCTCAATTGCCTTACTGTGCATCAGAGTAACTTCAAAATTCATGAGAACAAAGCATTACATGCTGGACTAATTGAACAAAGCATATATGCAAGAGCGTATTGAGGGCCCTATCTTGGAAACCAGTGAGGGGTGTGGGTGATTGGGTTCTTCCAGCTAAAAGGTCAAGAAAGGTACCCATATGTGGTGGTGATTTCTCTGGGCAATGGAATACCACATGAGTTGGCAGTACCTAGTTTGGAGTCATCTCCCTGCATTTAAATCCTTCCCTTGTGCAGTGATAATGTTCTGTCTTCATGGGCTGCAAATGGGGACAGGTGAATTGCATTTGCAATAAAGCCACAGTCCTCATGCCTGCCTGTGTGATAACAAACTGTGGATTGTGATGATGCTTCTGGCCTGCTCTGGTTAACTTTCAAACACAGAGTTCAAAGTACATATGATTATTTCTATACATAATGCATTAGCGCCCAAAAACTCATAAAGGGTCAGAGCTTCACTGAGTTTTACTCAGTGAATTTTTTTTCCCCATCTGCCAATCATGTTTTCTCTATTCCATTAAGTCTTGTTTGTGTATAAAGTAGCTTGAGTGCTATTACATTGTTTTATTAAATATCAGAGAAGTGCTATAGACATTACATAAACTTGGTGTGTTTCTTAAGAATTAACACATCAGCTACAGATCAGCAGAAATTAAACACAGCTACATCATTTTCTCCCAGATCAGTAGCTGGTATTTGCCTCCATGTGGCAGCCAGGCAAATATCCCTTTTGCCAACCTGCCATGGTTTGGGGCTGGGATGGGGAGGACAACTCCTGTGGCTGCTCCAGGGGTGCTCCAAGCTTCCTCCTCCCCAAAGCAATAGATGTTGAGTATTGTTTTTGTTGATTATTTGGTTTCTAACTAGTCAAAAGCAGCCAAAAGTAGCTCAAACAGCAATGAATGAATTACAGCTGGCCCCTATTTTTCTGGGTGGAGAGAGGAGAGAAAAGGGTTTTTTCAACCTTTCTAGAGTTTCTCACCAGTTAGAAGGGCACATGTCCCTGCATTGTGGAATCTGGCCACTGATGGCATGGGCCAACTCCTGAAGATGGGGTTGAATATGAGTTAGCACCATCACAGCAGCTGACAGTATGGCATAAGCAAAGGTGAACTGACATCACAGAGGACACTTTTATTCACCCTAGATATTCTTAGCCATGTTAGAAAGCCTTGAGGGCCATATTCTAGTAGTATCAAGCTGAACTAGCTTCAGTTTAAAATGCAAAAGTCCTGCTGAAAGCTGTGTATGTCTCTTACCTGCATATGAACATACAGGAAGTTCATCCTTTTCAAGGTATCTTAGAGTAGATGCCCCAAAATTAAAATAAGGTAGTCTGGACTCACAAGAGAGTCAAGGTCCCATCCACAAAGGCTCGCTGAGATGCTTCTGGAGTAATGTAAGTTGTTCACATGTGACCATGAAATTCCTCAGGACAGAAGGTCTGGTGGCTGTTTTGGCTGCATTTCGAATTGCATGATACTGGAGGGATCATAGAATCATCAAATGGTTTGGGTTGGGACCTTAAAGACCATCTAGTTTCAATCCCTTGCCATGGGCAGGGACACCTTCCACTAGACAAGGTTGCTCAAAGCCCCTTCCAGCTTGCCCTTGAATTCTTACAGGGATCAGACAGCCATAGCCTCTCTGGGCAACGTGTTCCAGTGCCTCACCACCCTCACAGGGATGAATTTTTTCTTAACATCCAATCTAAATCTCTCCTTTTTTAGTTTTAGAGGTGTAAGAAAGCTTCAGATCATGTGGCTCAGGACAGCCACAGCTTGGAGAGGACTTTATCATGCAATACAGAAAGGCCCACGGCCAACTGGGAGCATGCCCAGCATCACCTCCAGTACTGAAGAATTGCTGGGACATGCATGATTGAACAAGAGGGTTGTAATGCCTTCAGGGGTGGAGATGTCTAAACTTTTCATTTGGACATGAAGGACATGTATGTTATAAATAGAGGTCATTTAGCAGAAAGAGGGGGTGACATGACAGAGAGATCAGTGAGGTTCCGGTTTTTCTGGAAGTGTCAGAGTGTTCCTCAGCTTGAAATCCATTGGTCTGGCCCATATGTGGGGTTTTGTGGGTTCATGTAGCTCCTTGTCACCACAGGCTGCATGTATGTGAGGGAAACTGCCCAAACAAGGCACTTTTTGTTCATGTCTTCCAGCGATGACAAATATCTTCCATTAGAGATGGCTGTGGGACATCTGCCACTGACTGCAGTAAACATAAGACCAGATCCATTTTTTTTCCTTTAGCATGAAGACAAGACCACCAAGCACAAAGTCTGGGTCAGCTGGAACACTTGTTACCACCTTGAAATGTGTTGGTTTGATTCTGACCTTTGAAAAGCGGTCCAAGTTGTCTAACACTGCAATGTTTCACCTGTTCAAAAATCTAAAACACTCTTTTTTATAAAAATGGGATGAGCAATTTGGATTTCCAAACTTTTCTCCTGATTGCTTTTAATGTTACAGAAATGCATAAGAATGTGTTAGCTAAGGAATTATCTTTTGTTTTGATAAATAAGCATTTTTTAGAAAAAAATAGGCTTTTCAAAAAATTTCTGATCACTTCTGATAAGTATCATCTTGCTCACTCACCACCCTCACCAGTCTTATATTTCCTCACACAGGGTAATTGCTTTCTTCTTCCTTCATGCCCTTTCTTGGTTAAACAGCCTCATCCAGGCTCAACACTGGCTTCATCATCCTTCAGACCTCATCTTCCTCTATGCCACCCCAGTGGTGTCTTGAAAGGCAGCAGATACCTCTGCTGGATGTGTGGTCTGCACACTGCATTGCCTGGACCTTTTCATTCTCAGACTCTACTCTCAGCCTGTTCAAGGATTTTTATTTTCCTGTTTTCTCGCCTGCCTCTGAAACTCTTACTACAATAAAAAAAGTCAACGTGCTGGAAGGACCAGCATCCCCCACCTCGGCACCTGGGGGAGCAAGCAAGGAGCTGGGTTGTTCTCCAGAATCTCTGCCTTGTTTTGACAATTGCATTCGGGAAGAAGAACTGAAGTTTTGTGTTTAAAAACAAATGAACGAGTGAAAAACCCAAACCAAACACTAAGTTTTTCTCACCTCTTCTTCTGAGCCCTGGCTCAGAAGAGCAGCTTTGCAGTGCCAGCTGTGCAGCTGGCATGTTATACTGGAAACTGCTGCGACTTCAAACAGCAGCAGCTGGAGATGGGATACCTCAGGCTGTGTGTTAGCTCTGAGATGTACAAGCCATCCTTCATTTTTTAATACCAGCACCTATCGCACTGCTGCTACTTTATAAAAAACAAGCTACTGTTGAGTTTAATGCTTGGTATAACTTGAACCTGATGCCTTCCAAAAGCAAGAGAAGTTGTCTGTGGTCCCTGATCATCCCTGGTGTGCAGCTGACAGACCAGAGGTGGAAGGTCCTTCTGCAGGGGTCTGTGCTGCTGAGCTCTTGCACCAGGACCCTGTAGCAGAGGAGCCTGGGCCCTGTGTGGAGCTGTGCTGGTGGGCTGAGAAACAGGCTCTGATTTCTCCAGGAAATCTACTGGGCTGGTGGAAAAGGTGACATGAACTGGTGTAGAAAGGAGGTACAACACATCCCAGTCAATATCATGTAAGTCCTCACCAAATTTTGCCCTGTAAGGATCAGATAGCACAGTCCAGAAATCTCTGTAAAGCTGGAGATGCAGAGATTGGGTGAAGGAAGAATCCCTGAGAACACATATCCTGCTGACTTACCCAGCACTAGCAAAATAAACAAGGCAAAAATCAAAACTTCAGGGGCTCCTTTGCGCAGCAGAGACCTTGTCTGGACAAGCAGAGCTCATTCATTTCTGCGCAGAGCTCTGCAGCAATGAACTTCTTCCCAAGCTCTGGTTGTAAACATTTGTCTTTGTTTTACAGACAGTGCAGTCAGTGAAGTCCTCACCCCAGAAGGGATTCAGACACAGGTGATGTGAGGTGTAGTTGGAGAAGTCAGTGGGACTGGAGATGTGCTGAGCAGCTCCAGGCCTGGAGTTCTGCTCACAGCCATAGCGGAGCAGCAGTGAGCATCACTTCTAAGGGCTGGAGGT